TGCGGTCAGCCTGAGGTATCTTATTTATCTGCCTCGCTTTGGAAGCCTGGTTGGATGTGTGACTATTATAGCCACGCGATTCACTCTCCCCATCCCATAGCTCTCTCCTCCCCCGTTGCTTGTTGTTGGATTGTCACGAGGTACCTATGTCGTGTGGCAAAGGATCCAAATCTCTATGTGCCTATGTGAGGCACTCACATAGTAAATTCAATGGTTACGGTTATCAGGTTATGGAGTGAGATAGTTGAGTTGTAATGTCACTTAAGCCTTAATAACTACTCCTACTATACAATGTGAGAATTACGTTAAAATGTTAGATGTGGTGTCTCCTTCGGTGGGTGAAAACTATGTGAGGCAAGTGTCCTTTCCGTGCGGTGTAAAATTGCAGTGGTTGTCAATTGGTGGTTGCGTGTACCTTGTGTTTGTAACAAGCGAGGGGATACGTTTCACACGCACTAGATCGAGAAGCACTATAAATGGGAAAAGGGAGATGTTACTATAATGGTAATACTGTAACCTTTTAATAGAAAACCATTGCAAAGTTTTTTATTAGCATCTCATTAGTCATTACCATATCAATAATCAATAGGTTAAATGGAAAACATTGATCACAATTATTATTGATATATACGAAGTAAGAAACAATAGCGTCATTTTACATTTGGTGAGGTTCATCTTAACATTTATCTTCAAAAAAGCATTTTTCATAGACGTAGAAATATTAGTCGATATTTCTTTTATATTTTTATCCTTATATATAAATACTAGTTTTCAAGCCCGTGCATCGTACGTATTTTAGCTATTTTAAAATGTGTTTTTTTAAAAAAAAATTGGTTATGGAATTAATTTATATTAGTAAATGAAGTTTTTCATTGACACTATCATCTAAGAAAAATACTAAATTGATTATTTGACTTGGTTCAGACTGTTTATTTAGCATACAAATTTAAAACCTCATATACAAATATCATTTTATCCCGATATACATCTTAACCTACATATATGTCTTAATACAGACTGTACTTACTTAATAGAAAATAGTAAGGAACCCTTCAATTTAATATAGAGCCCGTTTGATATCAATAAAATTGATCGAATTGACTGATTATGCTGAAACCCATTAAGTTCTGTCTGAATGGTATGTATAATATTTTTTTAATTAATTCTAATAGTTACAAATTCAAATGATTTTACTCATTCTTCAGTCACATTGAAAATGTTTCAAAGTATAGTTTTTAAAATTTCAAAACACTTTTCTCAATTGGACATTTAATTTATCATAAGTTCTCTAAACTAATCCTTTCAAAAAAAAGTTGTCTAAAGTTCTAAGCCAATATACCGAGTAAAAAAAGAAGCTTGAAGGGTAACTCACTTAATATTATTATTATTATTATTATTATTATTATTATTATTATTATTATTATTATTATTATTATTATTATTATTATTATTATTATTATTATTATTATTATTATTATTATTATTATTATTATTATTATTATTATTATTATTATTATTATTGCTTTTAATTGTTAGTTTTTAATTTGTCTAAAAAATGAAAGTGCGTAACACTAATACTTCGTATTAGGTAAGGGAGTGGATGTGATGAGTCGACATCCAGGTGCCAAATGGATCCGTTGATAAGAGCTCTTGGTGCAGTTTGTAATTAAGATACCTGAATATTACGGATTAAGTAGGAACGGACTACGGAGTCAATGTCTAGGCGTAAACGCATAGGTCTCTTTTTGAAAACAAAACTTCAACTTGTCTATTTTAAAAAAAACTTTCAAAAATGAAAAAAAGATGAATATTAATTAATCAGGTATAATGCATATTAATATCATGTATCATAAACATGTGAATGGTAAAGTATCATCTGTACGTAGTATTGAATAATATATCATTAAAAATGTTGTAGAAACTTACTGTGATGACATTCTTGATATAAGAACACTAAGCAATAGAATTCTTCAAACTAAGGAGAAAGCCAATAGTGAAAATACACTTTTATTTACATTGTCTTTGTATATTTATAATAGCCTACATATGCACTATAGGTAGTTTTTATGTTTCTAATTCTAAATTTAGAAACATAAAATATACTAAAAGTTTATAGAATATAGAAACGTAATACTAAAAAATCAATATATACAAAAAGTTAAATAAAAGTTTACTATAATAAAATCAGATTTTATGTAAATACTCCGTAAGTTACCAAATTAGAATATAGAAACGTAATACTAAAAAATCAATATATTCAAAAAGTTTACTAAAATTTTACTATAATAAAATCAGATTTTATGTAAATACATACTCCGTAAGAGTTACCAAATTAGAATATAGAAACGTAATACTAAAAAATCAATATATACAAAAGTTTACTAAAAGTTTACTAAATCAGATTTATGTAAATAAGAGTTACCAAATTAGATGGTATACAAAACGTAATAGTGAAAAGAAAATAAAAGATATAGAAAGTAATTAAATAATAATTATATATGATGACATGGCATGATTACGTGGCGCGCCGTATGCTCTTAAAAAGTTCCTCTTTTATATATATATATTGATTACTTCATCCTTTTTATTTTATCTTTTATATGTATATTCATCTCTTTTATATTATCTTTTTTATAATAACTTATCTTTTTTATCTTTAATTTTCTTTCTTTTCCTTTTAGTGATATCATGTATCGATTCATGTTAGCCTATCCCAATATCGTTTGGGACTAAGGCTTGAATGTTGTTGTTGTATTTATTTATTTAGTATAAGAATGATCAAAGATCGTGAAATTATTTGGGCATCAAAGATCGTGAAGTATTGTATATAGGGAGTTGTGTAATTATTTTACGGAAAAGTACGGAAAAGGTATTTGTGCTTGGACCCATTTTCAGATAGAGTCATGTGTTTCATTCTTTATCAAAGTGATTCATGTGTTTGAATTCCATTATCACAAGAGGGTCACGCCATTAAAAACGTCTGAAAAAGACCATTAAAAGTAACTTCGATTTTCAAAAGTGTCCGGAAAATTAAAAGAAAAATATCGGAAGGTGTGCCTCGTCAAGATGACCTCCAAACCACCTTGGCCTTTGGATTTTTCGGATCTATTTGAATTATTTTTTAAAATGATTTCACTAATATCACTTTTCCGATGAACTTTCCGGTGACAAAGGTTGCTGAAAACAGAAAAAAAGATGGCCCCGCGGTTGTCTTATTGAGGTGCACCTTCCGGTATTTTTCTTTTATTTTTCGTGACACTTTTGAAAATCAGAGTTACTTTTAACGGTCTTTTTCAGACGTTTTTAACGCCGTGACCCTCTTGTGATAACGGAATTCAAACACATGAACCACTTTGATAAAGAATGAAACACATGACCCTATCTGAAAACGGGTCCAACCACAAATACCTTTTCTATGTTTTCCCATTATTTTATGGATGTGTATATGTTACACGCTATAATTCTTGGAGCGGAAGCTTAGTCCGTAATTGGCGGACTTCTAGTTGTACATATATTTTCCTTTTATTCTATTTTATTCTTTCCTTCTTTATAGGAGATTTTGTTGTATAGGAGTTGTATATATGTAACCCCTCGGTGTTTCTAATAGACAAGAAAAACACTTTGCAAAACTGGTTCGTGTAGTTTAATATGGTATCAGAGCGACTTTGAACTACACGCTACCTTCGTTCACGATATACGACCATACGGCCATGACGACCAACGACAACCAACCGAGGAGGAAAATCAACGACCCAACCTCCCCTTATTACTTGTCCAGTTCAGATTTCCCAGGCCTGAACATTTGCGGCATGACGTTAAAGGGAGAACGCAACTATCGGGAATGAGCGATCTTGATGAAGAATGCCTTGCGTGCCAAACGTAAGGTTGGATTTGTGGACGGATCAATCAAACGACCCACAGAACGGAATGAAGACATTGAGGATTGGATAACGGTGAACTCCATGATAACCGGATGGATCATGACATCGATTGAGCCGGCATTGCGGACGAACATCGCCTTCATGGATGAAGCACGTGATCTCTGGAACGATCTCCGGGTTCGTTTTGCCGTGGCCGATTCAATGCGGACATACGAACTGAACGATCTCCGGGTTCGTTTCTTGTCTATTAGAAACACCGAGGGGTTACATATATACAACTCCTATACAACAAAATCTCCTATAAAGAAGGAAAGAATAAAATAGAATAAAAGGAAAATATATGCACAACTAGAAGTCCGCCAATTACGGACTAAGCTTCCGCTCCAAGAATTATAGCGTGTAACACCCCCCCTCAAGATGGGCTATGAGGGTCCCGAATACCCATCTTGGACAACAAATATTCGAACTGTCTTTGACCGAGAGCTTTGGTGAGGACATCGGCTAGTTGTTCGGTAGTGAACCAATGGTCGGTATCATGTCCGTTTTTCTTGCAATACCCACACACAAGTTTCTGCTCGCCGTCTTGTGTAGGTGCACTCTGTCTCATAGCAAAGGCAGTCACCTTCGGTTTTTCTTCCCGGCCTCGAATCATGTTGTGATGGCGTTCTTCCTGGGTGATAATGTTGTATAGCTTAGTCAGGGTGGGCAGTTCCTCTTGGCTTAGTATATTCGAACGCAGGACCCCAAACATGTCATTGTCAAGACCTAGTAAGAAATCATGGCACTTCTCCGTTTCAATCTGTTTGAGAAATTGTTTCTCAATCTCACACTTGCAGCCTTGGCATTCGCATCGTGGAATTGTCCTGTAGTCATCAAGTTCTTCCCACAAATTCTTCAATCGGCCGAAATAGTCCGTGATTGCCGCCCCATTCTGCCTACAATTTCGGATTAGATCTTTCAGTTCGTATGTCCGCATTGAATCGGCCACGGCAAAACGAACCCGGAGATCGTTCCAGAGATCACGTGCTTCATCCATGAGACCATTGCTTTAAACGGACCGGGAAATATCCCGAGTGGTGGTTTGACAACCCGGGAAGGGGACACGATGGACGAGGTCGTGGGGCAGGAAGGGGGCGTGGAAGGGCAGTAGCAAATGCAGTGACGCACACAGGCCCTGAAGATACTGCCGCACAGCCCAACGAAGATAAAGCCGAGTCTTCTGCCTCACATGTGCCGCCGATGTTCACCAATGAACAGTGGCGTATTCTTGTGAAAGCTTTGGAGAATTTTCAGGTCACCTCATCTAAAGAAAAATTGACAGGTATGACTACCGACCGTACGTGGCTCCTGGATTCCGGGGCCTCGTACCATATGACCGGACTAGAAAATATTCTTGATTACAAGCAACAAGTGCCGCCGTTGTCCGTCACTTTACCTAATGGGGAAGTAACACACGCTACATATATGGGACATATACAGATTAGTTCTCATATTAAATTAACAAATGTTTTGTTTGTACCCGGACTCCGGTGCAATTTAATTTCTATAGCACGATTGATTGATGATGCCAGATGCGATATATTTTTTACTAATCAGGTTTGTGTGATACAGGCCCTACCTACGAGGACGCCGATTGGAGTGGGTAGAAGATGCGGGGGGTCTACTATTTTCACAGTATGGAAGAAATTTGTGCACATCAAGTGGGAATGGTGGACTCAACGGATTTGTGGCATGCACGATTGGGGCACCCTTCAGCTTCAGTAGTGCGTAAAGTTTCCAGTTTTATTAATTATGTTCCTAGCTCTCAGTTAGAAAATAAGGCCTGTGATGCATGTTTGTGTGCTAAACAAACTAGAGCCGCGTTTGATTTAAATTCTGCTCGTGCTATTGAATGTTTTGAAATGATTCATTGTGATATATGGGGTCCTTATCAGTATTCTTCTTCTTGTGGTGCCCGTTATTTTTTAACAATTGTGGATGATCATTCTCGTGCGGTTTGGATACATCTATTGCTTAATAAAGGAGAAGTGGGAACCATTTTGAAACATTTTTTTGCTATGACTAAGAGGCAGTTTAATAAAGAAGTTCGTGTTGTGCGAAGTGATAACGGGAAAGAGTTTATTGCACTGAAAAATTATTTTAATGAACATGGGATTGTTTTTCAAACTAGCTGTGTCTATACGCCACAACAAAATGGCCGTGTTGAACGAAAGCACAGACATATCCTGGAGGTGGCTAGGGCGTTACGTTTTCATGCTAATTTGCCTATTCATTTTTGGGGCGAATGTGTATTGGCTGTCGGGTATTTAATTAACCGCTTACCTTGTCGCCTCTTGAATTATAAAAGTCCTTATGAAATTTTGTACAGCAAAATGCCATGCTATACTAATCTCCGTGTGTTTGGATGTATGTGCTACGCCCATGACAAAAATGTACTTGGTGATAAATTTGCACCGCGTGGCGTTAAGTGTGTTTTTCTTGGGTATTCTTATTCCCAAAAAGGATGGAAAGTTTTTGATCTTGAAAACCAGAGGCATTTTGTATCCCGAGATGTTCGATTCTTTGAGAATCAATTCCCGTTTGGTTCCACTCTGCCATGCAACGAAAATGAACAGGATGGGGATCGTGCGGCTCACACAGATGGTGCTCCTTCTACTCATATTCACGAGTGGCCACGTTTGGTTGATGACAAGGATATACATGCTGATGAAGGTGGAGCCATCACCTCACATGACACGGGTTCAACCAGGGCTTCACCACCACATGCATCCTTTGATGACTCCGCACTTCTTCATTCCCGCGAGGCTCAGTCAACAGGAATGCCGGGTGATCATACGTCTACGGCAGTGGGTGATGTGGGGCCAACACAAATTTCTACTGCTTTGAGACGCAGTAACCGCACACGTGGCGTCCCAGCATGGCAGCATGATTATGAAATCCAATTAAATACTGTGAAAATGGATACTGCCCCCAGTCAACTTCCTACTACGATCGTCTCCTCAGGTACACCTTATCCCTTATCTGATGTAGTGAATTATGATCATTTTTCTGTGCAGCATCGAGCCTTTCTTGCAGCTATCAGTGCAAACCGTGAGCCCCAGACATACAAAGAAGCGGTTAATTCACCTCTCTGGAGAGAGGCAATGCAACGTGAGATAGTTGCGCTTGAACGTAATGGGACGTGGGAAGTAGAACAATTACCTCCCGGCAAACGAGCTATATTCTGTAAATGGGTGTACAAAATTAAGTATAAGAGTGATGGATCCATTGACAGATATAAAGCTCGTCTTGTGGTGTGCGGGAATCGGCAGGTTCATGGAATTGACTATCATGAGACTTTTGCGCCTGTTGCCAAAATGGTGACAGTACGGACTATTTTATCTGTTGCCGCTGCGCGTGACTGGGAACTGCATCAGATGGACGTTGACAATGCATTTTTGCATGGAGACTTAGGGGAGGAGGTTTACATGCATTTTCCACCAGGCGATTCGACATCTGCTCCCGGGAAAGTATGCCGACTGATAAAGTCTTTATACGGGTTGCGCCAGGCACCCCGATGTTGGTTCTCTAAACTCACCCAAGCTCTTCGTTCTTATGGATTTATACAGTCCGGAGCAGATCATTCCCTTTTCACTTTTCGTGCATCAGGGAAAATATTATGCATTTTGATTTACGTGGATGACTTGTTAATTACAGGCAATGACCATCAGCAAATTCTTGATTTTAAACTTTACTTGGGTAAACATTTTCCTGTTAAGGACTTGGGTTCTATGAAATATTTTCTTGGCATTGAAATAGCACGCAACCCCACTGGGATATTTCTATGCCAGCGAAAATATGTTCTGGTTATTTTATCTGAAACTGGTCTGCTAGGAGCTAAACCTGCGTCCTTTCCAATGGTTCAGAATCATGGGCTTCAGCTTGATACAAGTCCATTTTATGAGAATCCTGAACAATATTGCCGGTTAGTTGGGAAACTTATCTATCTCACCCTCACTCGCCGGATATTTCCTATTTTGTGCATATACTTTCCCAATTCATGCAGCAACCGCGTATTTCGCATTGGGAGGCTGTAGTTCGTGTATTGCGGTATCTTAAGGCACACCCAGGGCAAGGAATATTTTTACGACGTGATTCGGACCTTTCTCTAACCGGGTTTTGTGATTCGGACTGGGCGAGTTGCCCGACTACTCGACGCTCTATTTATGGATATTTTGTTATGCTCGGGTCCTCTCCTATTTCATGGCGCACCAAGAAACAAAACACGGTTTCGAGATCTTCGGCCGAAGCTAAATATAGGTCCATGGCACTATTAACATGTGAGTTATTATGGCTCAAGAGTTTGCTTTCGTCACTCGCGGTTTGCCACTCTCAACCGATGCGGCTATTCTGTGACAATCAGGCGGCTCTTCACATTGCTTCTAACCCGGTCTATCACGAGCGGACTAAACATATTGAAATCGACTGTCATTTCTTGCGGGACCATATTAGTTCTGGCGTCATTCTACCTTCCCATCGGTCCACTACCGAACAACTAGCCGATGTCCTCACCAAAGCTCTCGGTCAAAGACAGTTCGAATATTTGTTGTCCAAGATGGGTATTCGGGACCCTCATAGCCCATCTTGAGGGGGGGTGTTACACGCTATAATTCTTGGAGCGGAAGCTTAGTCCGTAATTGGCGGACTTCTAGTTGTACATATATTTTTCTTTTATTCTATTTTATTCTTTCCTTCTTTATAGGAGATTTTGTTGTATAGGAGTTGTATATATGTAACCCCTCGGTGTTTCTAATAGACAAGAAAAACACTTTGCAAAACTGGTTCGTGTAGTTTAATAGTATAAGGCTTCTCTAACTTTAAAAAGGATTAATTTCCATGTAACACACATGTGGATAACTTTATAATGATACGTCGTAAATCTCAGGTAAATATCAAAATAGAAGTATTGAGTATTACAGTATGTTTTTTCTCCTAATAGATACTTCGTATGTCGTAAATCTCATTTTATCCATATTCAACTTATGAGGTGTTAAATGAGGTATGTATTATTATACGAGTAATTAGGATATTTTTAAAGGTGAATTCTATGGTACCCATAAGGTACCATACCTTTGTGCACATAGACCAATAAGAATGTAGCAGTTGAATTATTTAAATCTAAATTAAAAATGATAAAATGATGTGGTCTAATCAAATGAATAGTAGGTACGGTACCCATTTTTTAGAAGGGTACCGGAGTTGTCACCATTTTTAAAACATTAAACATTATACGGATTACAGAGTAGTAATTATTCTTATAAAAAATAAAAACATACGGAGTAATACTCATTTTTTGAATTTCAAAATGTTTTTAATTGTGAATAATTTATCTCTAATCAATAATGCTTTGATGAAACTTACACACGGACGATATGATCAGGAGTCGGGACAATTTCTTGGGGTAAAGGTGTTAAGATTGTATTGGAAAATGACGAAATGCCCCACCACACTCTCAAGGGTTAGTTGAAAGTTCTTGTAAATTCATGACGTGTCAGGGCAAAATTGGGATACCAAAGTCAATAGTGCACACTCAATTAGTGCTATAAAAATGATTAATATATTCAACCCAGAGTTTTTAGTGGGTTAGTCACGTTCCATTCACGGATTCACATATGATTAAAAGATTTGCATCCAAAACTGAAAGGCGTCCTTATGCCCTTGTCATTAGAGCTTCGGTGTCGGCCAAATCAAGTGACTTTACTAATTTCTCTTTTAATATTGCTTAACGATACACTAATGCAATTATGCGTTCCTTACAAAGTGAAAGGCGTAGTATATTTACACATAGTTTTGTACCTCCGGTACACATGAATTCTATCAACATTCTATTGTTTTTCTAATAAAGTAAAAACTGTGTCATGTATAGAAAAAAGAGAAATGACTTTAATCATATATTTCTTACTTTAAATGGAAATGTAACGTTTTTTGGGACGATCATTTGACCAAGTTTTATAGGACACATGGAGTATGTGTGAGTAGCACAAATTAAAATCTATTCACACATGTCTGTGAACTAAGTGAACAAATGTATGAGAACATGCTATTCACATACCAAAAAAACCTATTCATTCTTGTGTACAAACACGTTTTTTCATATATTTTTGTGTAATCAAACGATCACAAATTTTTGTTCTCATATTTTTGTGTATGAGAACTTATGTTAAACTTTGGTGACCGACAGATTAGTGCAATTCCAAGTCAAGTGGAGGGAGGAAAAGAAGGGGAACTATCAATGACGATAGTAAAGCGATAGTAAAGGTTAATGGGGGATCATAGAGGTGGGGACTACGTAGTATCCAGTCGATTAATGACACCTTTATTTTTTATTTAAAAGAGAAGTTTGAAGTTGATGTTTAGATTAAGGGTGCACAAGTGGGTTTGTTTGGTTTGGTTAGGTTTTACATTTCAGACTAGCCTGATAAAAACACATTACGCCTACAATTAAATCGTATATAATTGAGACATTCAGCCGCTCGTAAGAGTGGTGTGTTGGTTTGGGTAATTGGTTTGCAATTAAATATCAATGCTAATTATTCAAAACAATTTTAATCTATATTACTACTTCCTTAAATACTGTTAACATTTAAAGTCAATAATACCTTATAAGTTAATCCATATACCATGATCATATTTAAGAAAATAATTACATATTTATAATTAAAATAAAGTTTGTTTACAAAAATAAGACCGTTGACTATAATAGCAGTGAAATCATAGTACTTATGTTTAATTTTTAAACGTAACTTATCATGATACTACAATATACTACGTAGTAACTATTAGTCATATTTGTGTAAATAAATTTTATTTGAGTAATACTTTAGAAAAACTCATATTTAAGTCTGGCAATTCCTGTATATACGATGCTATCTAAATTTTGCATCAACAAAACACAAGTCAGTAACCTCCATCCATATTGATGTTAGAACTTGAAACTTTAGTTGTCTCCCACTTATCTCCTTAACAATTTAGATCATGTACTCATGTACTCCGTATTTCTTATGCGCAGTAGCTAGGAGGACTTTTATAGCCTATATGCTATCAAAATGGAGTTTATAACTGAAATCGTTGTGAAGTATTGGTCATTATTGGACCTCTTAACGATATGTTATTATTTTGAATTTCAAAATAATATTGCATTATCCCACCCTTGATGCAAAGACTGATCGATCTTAAGAAACAAAAGAAATGCACCACAGTGATGCATTATCTTAGCTTGAGTACTACGACGTATCACTTATGATAACGATGCAGATTGCTATTTAATTAAGTTAAAATATGGCAATCAAAACTTAATGAATAACCCTATGTTTATTGTGGACCGAGATTAAGGAAATATACTTTCTCCACATAATGAAATGTGAGCATTTTAATGAGAAAACGCCTTAATGAATAAGAGTTTATAAATACATGGATGC